CAAAAGCGTATTGAGGTTAGAGTTATCCAGCGAAAATTCAAGCACACAATTGGAGAGGACCTTGTGGTATGCCAGATTGGCATGCTTTCCTATGAATTTCCTCCAGCTCTGAAACCACCAGAAGACCTGGCAGTGATGGGCAAAGATGCTTCTGGGCAGCCCATTTTTAATAACTCTGCCAAACACTGGACCAATTTTGTCATTACAGAAAATGCAAATGATGCAATTGGCATCCTTAACAATTCTGCCTCGTTCAACAAAATGTCAGTTGAGTACAAATATGAGATGATGCCAAATCGCACATGGCGTTGCCGAGTGTTTCTACAAGATCATTGCTTAGCTGAAGGTTATGGAACCAAGAAAACAAGTAAACATGCAGCTGCTGATGAGGCTTTGAAAATTCTTCAAAAAACACAACCCACTTACCCATCTGTCAAAAGCTCACAGTGCCATTCAAGCTCTTCATCCAGAGGATCTGGAAAGAAGAAAGATATAAAGGATCTTGTAGTTTATGAGAACTCTTCCAATCCTGTGTGCACTCTGAATGACACAGCTCAGTTTAATCGAATGACAGTTGAATACGTCTATGAAAGGATGACAGGCCTCCGCTGGAAATGCAAGGTGATTCTAGAGAGCGAAGTCATTGCAGAAGCAGTTGGGGTGAAGAAAACAGTGAAATATGAAGCTGCTGGGGAAGCTGTGAAAATCCTCAAAAAGACCCAGCCGACTGTCATTAATAACTTGAAGAAAGGAACTGTTGAAGATGTGATCTCAAGAAATGAAATCCAGGGCCGCTCCACTGAAGAGGCTTACAAACAACAAATCAAAGAAGACAACATAGGAAATCAGCTGCTTAGAAAGATGGGTTGGACGGGTGGTGGCTTAGGTAAATCTGGCGAGGGCATACGGGAGCCTATCTCAGTCAAAGAGCAGCATAAGCGGGAAGGGCTCGGTCTTGATGTAGAGAGGGTCAATAAAATTGCCAAGAGAGATATTGAACAGATCATCAGAAATTACGCCCGCTCGGAGAGCCACACGGATTTGACCTTTTCTACAGAGCTGACTAACGATGAGCGGAAGCAAATCCATCAGATTGCTCAGAAGTATGGGCTGAAGAGTAAGTCTCATGGGGTGGGCCATGATAGGTACCTGGTGGTAGGTAGAAAAAGAAGGAAGGAAGACCTACTAGATCAGCTCAAACAGGAAGGCCAAGTAGGGCATTACGAGCTTGTCATGCCCCAAGCAAATTGAGATCTTACTAATTTATTTTGTAAATGCCTAATGAGGCAGATTTATTAAAGAAATGCTACATGTTCTGGTTGCAGAGTATATACATTCTTAAAATGTTTCACCTTGTTCGTTTCATATAGTGCTTTATTAGCTAGTGGAACCTGAAGAATTCGATCCACTTGTATTAGCTTAATCTGGCAGATGATATTGTGCAGTCACTGTGTATGTCTTTGATATTGCTGTGCCCCTCAAATTTTAGTAGTTTGTGCAAGCAAGAACATGTCCAAATGGAATTTCACCCCAAGAAATTCACGTTAAAGGGCATAGCACAGCAATCTGCTACAATATGTGAAGTTGCTATTGACTCCAGTAAAACTACAGTTTTAATTCCAGACCTACTGAAAATGTCAGATCATTTTGTATTATCTATTGTCATCTTTGTGTGAAGCCAGTTATAGAATGTTTAACAGTAAATTGTATGTGTAAATGTCCTTACCAACTAAATGATGTAAAATTTTCTTAAAGTAATTTTAGTGTTCTTTTATTTATAACTTCTATCATGTGATTTCCAGAATATTGGAAGTGATTTATTGTATCTTGTGATATATGGGTTTTAACAAATTCTAGTCTTCATGCTGAGAGAGCACTACTTGAGAGAGCAGTTGAAAAGTTTCAAAAACGTAGATTCAACCTGAAGAAAGGAAGCTTGAACTGTTTGTTCTTGGTGCCTTGCAGAGAGACTCACAGCAACTCTTCCTTATAGCTTTCACACGGTTTGGATACACAGTACATCCAGGGCAACCACAGCTGTGGTGGAGCTTGGTAAAAGACTGAAGATACTTTGGTCCTTTGATGAAGAGGTCAGTTGGCTGGTCCCTCTCTCAAAAAGCTTATTAAGCCCCAAAAGCCAACTTTGTAACATATTTAAAACCGCTATTTTCGCTTATTTCTGTAATGTAAAAATAAAGTGTATAAAAAAAGGATTAGTGTATGCTTCCTGAATAAAAAAGAGCCAAAGTTAATCAAAATGGTGGTGTGCTTATTTCTGGGCAGCAGCCTAGTAGCAACACTTTGGGTCTTTGGAAAAGGGAAGTGGTGTTTGCACAAAATATTTCAACCCCAGAGTACATGTTGATAAGCATAATAATTTAGTAGATGGGAACAAATAGCTATCAGTTACCCGCTGAAGTTTTTCCTATGCACCTATATGCCGGCTTCAACCAAATCTTGGGCTGTTTTATGTGATTTTGGTTTTGTATCTCAGATAAACAAGTATAACCTTACCTGTAACAGCAAAGATGAATATTAATAGTGATAGTTAAACACCAATGAAATGATGTTGAGGACGATTACATTATTTTCAGTGTCTTAAAACATTGAACACTGTACATATTTTATTTTTAAAATATTTTACACTAAGATGCTATAGTTAAAAGACTATTTTAAAAGTAAAAAATGGATTAGCCTTTATACCTGGATCTAACTTGTAGGTACTTAGAGTGACTGACAGAGTGTGGTATTTACTTTCTACTGTCTTCCTACAGTATGTGACCTTTTTTTGGCACAGGGTCTTGCTATGTAGTCCAGGTTGGCCCCAAACTTGATGTTGCTCCTGCCTCAGGCTCCCAAGTCCTGGGAGTACAGGCATGTGCCACCACATCTGGTTTATATATTTTTTTTAGCCTACAAGGTTCTCTCAACCTTGCGAAGCAGTGATTTAATGAGTTGGTATAACCTATCTTCGATTCTGTATGTAACAGTGGCTTTAGAAATTATGAGATGTGAAAGCTATACTTGTTTCTCTCTTTACATTTATTTCTTCCTTCCCCAAATGATTTCTTTTTAGAAGAAGAAAGGTAGGGGAATGTTACATATCAATCAGATTTATTTAAATGAGCCCAACAGAAGATTAATGTAGTTATAGTTAAGGCTCCCAAACAATTAGGTCAAGTATGTACAAATTTGGTTTCTTTTTTTTTTTTTTTTTTGGTACTGGGGATCGAACTCAGGTCCTTGAGCTTGCTAGGCAGGCGGTGAAACCACTGAGCTAAATCCCCAGCTGGTTTCTTTTTTTGAGAGGCCACGTTCCCTAACTTCATAGATGAGCTTTGGTACTGATGCAAAATTAGAGCGGTCATTTAACTGTATTTGACAATAAAATGATTTTAAGAAATGGGGTTGGCAAGAATGAACTACAGTACTGAAAACTTTGTTCCATTTTTTCTTTAGTTGGTTGTTATATTTTCCATTTCTTTGAAATAACAGTCATTTTTGTTGTTGTTTTTTTGGATTCCGTTTTTGGTTTTTGAGGCCAGGTCTTGCTATATATAGTTCAGGTTGGTCTAGAAGTCACCATGTATCCCAGGCTGGCCTCGAACTTGCAGCCATCCTGCCTCAGCCTCCTGAGTCCTGAGATTACAGGCATGTGAACTGCGCCTGGCAGCAGTTAAACCCAGTAACCTTGCTATAAAACCTGCACAGTACAGTTTCAGGTTTTATTTGGGTCACTTAAAATTGTTACACTGAGGAACTCTTTTCAATTTTATATATATAACATCGAGTGTCACAGATCTACTTTTTTGGATTTTTTCCCCTCCCCTTTGATTGCAAAGTGAATGAAAATTGCATGCATTCTGTTGGAGTTCTTTTTTAGGAGTTTGCAATGTGTTCACTTCGCTATGAGTAACCCACACAGCTCCAAGTGGGTCCTAAATAAAGGACTCTTAATTACAATTGACCCTTCAGCAAATCCCCTGTGAGCAGGTGCAGAAATGAAGGTGGCTGTTTTAGTTTTGTTAGTTACTACACGTAGGCAGCCTGTGGGGTTAAAAATTATAAAGGGGGAAAAGGCAATTAGCATTGTGTTCAAGGGGATGGTTAATGTTGCCTTTGACCAGGGAGCTTTTGGGAGGTCAGCTGTTTTAAGGATTGTACCATGAAAAAGATTGGGAATAGTTTCTCAGTGGTGTACAAACTAAAATTTGTTAGCAAATTCTGCCCATTCACAGTCTCATCCTAAATTTCTTCAAGTATGATTGTCCTATTTCAGGTACCCAGCTACAGCAGGATGAAAAAAATAACATAGAACAGTCCACCAAATGAAGACTAATGGGGTTTTATTTTGAAGCGGAAATGGACTTGAGGTAAAATAATCCAATTAATGTGGTATTCACTACAGATTGAACCGCCCCCCCCACTGAGGCTTAAGCACTCATGTGTGTATCATAAGGACTTAATTTCACTTAGTGCCCCAAGTACCAAGACATGAGAATCTTTTAATTGTTTTGGTCTCCTTAAAATGTGATGGGTTGCTCCTCAGAAGTAATAATTAAGCAAGATGACAGAGGACACCTGTACTCGCAAACTTTGCAGAGGACTGAAAAGTACCACTTTAAATTATAGTCTGGTACCATTTCAAATAGGGCTTCTTAGGAAGTGGAATGTCAGGATCAACAGATCTTGGACTTTGAGGACAATGATAAATACCTAGGTTTCTTCTCTCCCCTTACCTCAATTTCATTCCCTTGATTGGCCCACAATGTATATTGTAGTAACTAATTTATACCCTGTGAAAATGTTTAAAAAGCATTAAAAGTCTAAAAAGAAAAAAGTTCTCTCCAATAGTGTCTACTATCTTCTCTTCCACTTCCAGCAACAGAAATTTTGCTTTAAAATTGTTAAAGGGGGACGATGAGTAGGTATGAGATCCCCCAAAAAGTTAATAATAAAAGATCAATACTGAGCTAAAATATAATTAAACTTCAACTACAAAATTTTAAGGTTATTTTTATTTACAATTACTGAAAAATGTACATTTTTTACATGGGTTACTTGTGCAAAGTTAGAAGAGCGATAAATGCATAAAGGCAACGATGAAAATTAAGACAAAACATTTACAAGCTTTGTCTCACACTGTACAGCTAAAAGTATAAATATTCCAAAGAAAGATTGCAAATGTTGGATTTAAGATTCTCATAACACAGAAAGGGAAGAAACTAAAGCATGCAGTAGTAACTCAGGATTTGAGTGAAAAAGTTTGCCAGATATGCTTTCCTTAAATTAAAACTTTAAAAATGAAGGATTGTTAAATTTGTCTAGGGTAACACTTCAAAGAATGAAAGGATCTTCAACTTTCCCTAGCTCAAAAACTGATGATTGTTTCCATTCCTCTGCTCCTACACCTCTTTAAAAATCAAAAAAACGCAAAAGACCAGTATTCTGAAACTTATATGTGTCCCATCAATACCTTACAAGGAGTGGATTTGTCATTTACTATATTGCTGCACTCCCTTTGCTGGGTCCTTCAACATTCTCCTTCCTACCAATAAATACCATCTTGTCATTTGTATTGCTTAGGAATTAGTATCATAGGATTTTTTTAGCCCCTATTTTCTTTTGAAGAACATAGATCTCTTTATATGGATGTTTCCCTGTTTTCTACAGGCCACACATTCACTTCTAATTCCCATACAAAGTTAGAACTGGCCAGGATAAAACACTTCAGCAAATTATTTTGTTAAAAATATCCTGGTCATCATAAGAACCATCGTATAGCATTCATCTTAAAAATTTAGTATAAAGTATAGTAACAGTTAACTGCCTGAAAGCTGGAGATGAGCAACAACAAAAAATATTAAGCATTAGTAATTTTTGCAAGTAACCCAGGTACAGTACATTTGATTTCAGAGGGTGTTTTTTGATGTTTAACAAGAGGGTAGAAGGGGGAGGAAAAACTTGGCAAGGGAAGATGGAAACAGCACAATAGCTATTTTGCTTTTAATAAAGTAAATGTAATAACATTGAGGAGTAAGAAGGTGATAAACACATCAATTCATATTTTTTTTTATAGTCAGCCTCTTCTTTTGCTCCACCTGAGGTCAACAGTCACGCCAGCTCTGTTCTACAATTGCAGAAACACGCTTTTCATATTCCCTCTTGTTCTCCTGGTACAGCTGAGCAGCTTGGCTGTTTGCTGGACTATTGGGATTGGGTTCATCCAATAGAGACTACAGAGAAAAAAATACTTAAATGTCAGGTCCCCAGTGCAAAAAATACATGTTTGGGACAAACAACTATTTAATCAGGTAGTGACAATGGAATTCTAAGTGACAGCTAAATTTGCTGACTTTAGCCTATTAAACTAATATGCTAACCATACTAACCTATAGTTGCATTATGTGCAAGTAGCTCAGCAAAGACACAGACACACACACACACAGTGCTTGGGTCATGTTCTGGTGGTTTGGGTCTCAATGTCTACCACTTTCTATCTATAAAATGCACTTTGACTAAAAATAAAAAGGTCTTAGTTACCGCTTTAAAAATAACCATTAATGTAAACATATCAAAGGTCATAGTCACATTAAGGAAAATTCACCTGTATGGATGTTAAGATGGAAGACACATCATAGGTTGGACTCCAACGGTTCTGAAGTATATCCAGACATATACTACCATCTGCATAGACTGAGAGAGCATGGAAATAGGTATATTAAACACAACAATGTCACTAAGGTTTTAATAGTCAAAACAAAAGTAGTCAAGAATACTTTGCATTTGAAGTTTTAAAATATACTTAGGCTGCTTCCCAGGTACCTTCCTAAAAAGATAAATGGATCATAACTGTTACTAGTCAAATAATCAGGATGATCAGAGAAAGTGAAATGTGATTAATATATAATTAGAGGATACCTAGTGCTCATTTTTCTGAAAAGACTACCCTATTTTCCAGAAAATTACACACATTTTCTAACAGAGTCCCTTATCCATACAATTGTGGGAAATTCAGTGCACCAAATTTTAAACTCTATCTCCTATATGAAATATCAAAAGAAAAAAGTAAAAGCTAAAATCCTGTAGAGCTATAGCACTTTGCTAACCATACTATACTCATAGCCCTTAATAACAGAATCTGATATTTGGCAGGTCTGGAGTAGGGGCAGGCACCTGTATTTTTTAAACATTCCATGGGAATTCTGATATACATGCAAAGCTGAAAACTATTGTTCTAAAAGCTAGTAAAGACAATTACAACACGATTACCCCAATCTAGCACAGTATTAAAAGGAAAAAATGGAAATAAAGTCTTTGTAAATAGGGAAGGGTGGAGGGTGTGAAGGGAGGGATAGGAATGGGGAAAAAATAAGAACCAAGATGCATTATGTAAAGGTACAATTCCCAATGAGAAATGTAATTGTGTTGTATACCTACAATGTACCAATAAAAGAATTAAAAAAAAAAAGAAATAGAAGTTCATCCAAATAAGTGCATTCTCAAATAACTTCTAATAGAAAAAAAAAAGGAAATCTCAATAGGTATTCTTATTTTTGTTTAATGAGTAAGTGACAGAGATCGTCAAAATCAGGAGCCTTTGGCTCCAAGCAAAGGGAAGATTTCTTCACTACTTTAGTCCTAAAACTACTGTATAGATCAAGATGGCAATGGACCACTCTGAACAAGTTCACATTTCAGGTAACAAAAAGATGCCTAAGCAAATACTCAAATACTACATATAAATAAGTAATATGGAATAACACTGTAATAAACATTTTAGCAGTTTAAAATACTGTATTAAAAGTGATACTTGCCATTTGGATGAAACATCTTAGAGACAAATCTAACAGTAGGAGGTTTATTCGGATATTCTTCAGTGAATTCTATTGTAAGTTTAAATGTTCCTGTAGTTGGAAAAAGAGTTAAGAAAATGTATTTACCATTTTAATAGTACTTTATTTGTAATGCTATTTGAGTTTTTTCAAATATTAAATGAAATAATGCAAAGCTATAGTGTAAAGAGGAAAGACAGACCAGGTAAGAAATATATAGAACCACTCTAAAGATGGACAGATAGTTTAAGAATCACCATCGGAAGTTGATTTTTTTTTTTGGCTTTGCCATTATTCTCCAAACATAAAGACCACCATCATAAACTCAGAATTACTGCCTCCAGGATAACTTCAGCTACTGTGCATTCTGAAAATCTCTTTATAATAAAATGAGCCCAAAATTTGGCCTTCATCCTTTAGGAGACTGTAAGACCTCAAAGGCCTGTATCCGTTAGTTGCCATCTTAAACTCTCAGGTGATTTTAAATGTACTAGAAATAAAAGCACAGAAGTTAAAAAACCAATTCTAGCACTATAAATAGATAATTGTTATTTTTAAATTAGAAGAAAGTAAGTATAAAAATGTCCACTTTTTCAAGTAATAGTGTCTATAATGAAAACTTAGTTGAATTTAAGCCAGAACTTCATAATCCTCTCAAAAACACTTATGTATGACTCATAAAGTACTTCACTATAAAATCAAATCAATTATTTACACGAATGGAGGGAATTAATGGAGAAATAATTTTAAAATTACATTTAGCTTATACTGTATTCATGACTGCTGCAAATTTATGTTTCTAATGATTTTGGTTAGGCTACTATTGAAAAAATTATTTTTCTTAAACATGTGTCAATCTGAGGTAGCAGGAGGCCATAAAGAATACTAGGATATAGACAAAACTGGATCTTGTACAGGAATCGTCACACGTTAAGATCTGGAGAGACTGTGTCCTTCAAAATGTTTTTGTTAAATAAATTGCAAAAACCAACTGGGCAATTATTTTTCCTGACTCACATCTCTTCAAGTAAACCTAAGAAAGGAATCAGTTATTAACTGGTATAAGGTGAAGCATGTTCTACTATATTACTCTGGCCATTTAATAAATTATTTATTGCAATACAATAGACCACAATTCTGATAAAGTATAATTTATTGCTGATTCCTTGAGAGTTTGCAATGTTTCCTCCTTCCACCCATTAAGTTCATTATTGCCTAAGAACAAACGAGAATACTGTAATCATCCTGCTACTATAGTACATAACAATACCAAGTTTGTATCCTACTAGGAAATTCAAAGGAAACAACTTGCTAACAAAGGTGACACTGCTGTGAACATGGGTCCAAAACTTTAAAATGCAACATGGGGCTAGGGATGTAGCTCAGTGTTACAGAGCTTGCTTAGCACAAGGTACTGGCTTATCTCTCCAGCACTACAAAATAAATATAAAATGTATTTAGAGACATGTTATATTTCCCAAACTTGTAAGTCCATAAACTGTTTTTCTTTTGGAAGCCAAATCTGCAGATACTATATAATAACTAAGGAAAAGAAGTAAAATATTATGGAAGGGATAAGCATACTGTAGTGTAGTCCCTCAGAACATATTCCACTTATCACCTGATCAAAAACCTTGTTGAGAGAAAGCATAGTTCTTCCTTTTCATTATGGTTCACACTTTAATATGCAAAAAGTGGGAGTGGTAAAGAGTTCAAAACTTTGAGCTTCCTTTTGAATCTCAAATGTAAATACATTGGGATCAATGCTGAAATATGATTAAATTTATAGGTAAATGATTTATCATCAAGAAATTGCTCTAAAATTGGGCAGGCTTAATCACACACAAAGATCCTAGATACCTTAAATTAAAACCATTTTTAAGTATGATATTTAAAAGTCATAAAGCAATACATAAAGGAGGCAAAAGCAAAACCAGGAGAGCATAGCTGGGTAAGCACACAAGCTTCTCAGTTAGGCCTGGGCTTAAATTTTTGCTTTGCTGTTTACTAGCTGTGGTACTTTGGGAAAAGTGCTCAACTTGACCACACCTCAAGTTCCTCATGTGTAAAATGAAGTTAATAATAGTTCCCACCATAGCACTGTTATAAGGCTTAAGTGAGGCAGATATGCATAGTGTCACGAAATAAACACTCATAAATATGGCCAATTATTTTAGCTATAATTCCAAAATCTCACGCCTCTAGATCTGACTGAAGAAAGTAGATATTTAAAATCCAAGCTTCACTATCAGTAAGAAATATACAATTAATGAATGCAGGTATCAAGTAGCACTTGCTTTCTGGCATACATCAAACATGGTTAAATATAAACTGAATACATATACTGGTGGCTCACAAATTCCTTGACTTAAGCTTTCTGCCTAACACTTGCCCAGAGCTTCAACAAGATGGTTGCCTAGCTACCAAAGTTAACTCTTAAAACAGCTTTTAATATCTTTAGAAGTGAAACAAACTGTTTGTCTACTCAAATATAAATTAAGACTTGCCCAAATCTTATTCAGTGTACACATTAAAAAGGGGAAGGGCCAGGGATTTAGCTCAGTGGTTTTGCCGCCTGCTGCGCAAGTGCAAGGACCCGAGTTCGATCCCCGGTACCAAAAAAAAAAAAAAGGGATATTTCATACTCTTTGCCACATTTAAACAATCAAGACCTCTTCAGTACAATACTCAATGCAATTGGTCTAACCAATTAGTAACAAAATTAAAAGTCAAAGTATTATACAATTTGCTACTAGAGCTTACACTCAAAATATTTGGAAGGGTAAGCCCTAAAATAACTAAAAATGTAAGCCTCACCATTGTTGTACACAATCTCTACTGATTTTGTTTATCTTCTCAAGGAAGCCAACACATTGTAAGGAAAAGTAAATTAATCCTATCCATAGGGACCAGATTACATAACATGTTAAACGGCTGGTGCATGGCAATAAGGATTGATGTAGGTAAACTAGACAGTGTATATTCTGCCTAAAGATATACACAATTCGGGCCAGGGATTTAGCTCAGTGGTTTCGCCGCCTGCTGCACAAGTGCAAGGACCCAAGTTCGATCCCTGGTATAAAAAAAAAAAAAAAAAAGATGTACACAATTCAAAATTTTTTAAATACTGTGCCGGCGAAAGAAAACCCCTTTGTAGGTGTTTTCTGCCATTTGGCTACTATGTGATCCCTAAGAACAAAGCAAAGTACATATATGTGAAAAAAATTTGACAACTGAAAATTCTGATTTCTAAGATAATACCAAAACTCATCAAAGGATTTATTTAAGAACATTCTTAGTGGACTTTGAATCCTTTTAAAACAGAAAAGATTTACATTCATAAGTTCTTAAGAATTCATCTATTATCAAAGGAAATACCAGTACCTTACCATGTCTACTAACAATTTTTAGATGTGATGAAGAATATTCCATAACCTTTGCATTCAGCATATACACCAAGATGTTTTGACAAGGAAGTATCCTCCCAACCCCCATTTTGGCCATGTAAGTGCTTCAGGATATGTTCTTCTTACGAGTGAAGTTAAATCAAACTACTTGTAAGAATTCCCTTTAAGATTTCCTCTATTTAGTGTCAGAAACCTGTACCGTGAATGGCTTACAAGGAAGAAACAAAAGTTAGAAGGCTCTTGATTTATAATAATACATTTGAAGCGGCAAAATTATCTATGTCACTTATCCCCAAACCAATCTTTTCTTTAATTTATAAATTCCTCAACTCAAACTAGGAGTACTCAAACAATGATCAAACTTGTTCTTGTAGCCAGTCAGAGTTCTAGGCACCTGAGGAGTCATCCATGGATAGCATATTGTTTGACAGAATGAATCAGAGAAGGGTACTATCAGCCTGAGTAATTCCTTTGAGCAATGCAAGGATATACTCACATCATCAAAAATAGAGCCAGTAGTAATGTCAAAGGGGACCAATCCAGTAGATAATGGATTCCATGAGTACCTTTTCAATTCATACCACTTAAAACGAGAAGCACCCTTAAAATTTTAAGTAGCCAACCTCTAGTACAGTGATGTACTATTAATACAGCTGTACCCAGCATAAAAGTCTGAGTAAAATGAGGAAAAAAGAAGCCAATGAAAACAAAGCCTACCAGAGTTAAAGCAAATTCAGTTAATCTGCACATAGAGCTTAGTTATAAGGAATTAGCACCAATCTAGTAGAGAAAAATTCTAGCTAGCTCTTGCTACAATCAGTTCAAATGATTCACTGTACGAAAGTAGTATGCCCTTAGAATCACTCTCCTCCTGTCATTTCTTTTCATTGCACCACTTAAGAGAAGTTGGTATTTACCCAGGGGTGAAACAGAGAGGAAGCCAAAGGTGACTGTCTACAGCAGTGATGGCGAACCTTTTAGTTTTCAAAGATAACGAATAGCCCACTGTGGCATGCATGCCATAGGTTCACCACCACTGGTCTACAGTTTCCTAAGGAAATCTGAGTATTTGAGACAAAGTAGAGTTGGTTGATCTTGACTTACCTCACAGCATTTTGGGGACTGGCAGCATCAAAAAGCAATCCAACTCAGCAACACAAATATTAAGTAGTTTGCAGAAATTTTTTATTTCCACCTTTAAACTGAAGGGAGTGTATGTATATATGCAAAATGCTATGTCACCAAAGGAAGACAAATCATTGAGAAAAAATAACAGATCCTTTTCTTTTTTAAATACTTCAAATATTAGAGAATTTCATTAGCTCAAATACCTTTAACCATTGTTTAAATGTATTAAACTTTCTAAAAACAATGAACAACTAAACACACACACAAAAGAGTGCATATAAAAATTATATTACCCTCAATTTCCTGGTTGTGATACTGTAGTAGTATAGACATTCAAGATGCTACCAAGTAGGGTATGGTATGGGGGGGGAGTGAGTAAAGGGTATACAGGGTCTCTCTCTAGTACTTCTTACAGCTGCACATGAATCTGTAATTATCCCAAAATAGTAAGTTTTAAAGAGCAATTAACATGTGTTTTTAAAAGTTAAACCTAAATCACCTAAAACTTACATGCCTACTGGTATACGTAGTACCTTCAAGTAGGTCGGATATTGGTCAAAAGAGGTAAACCTGGGGCCGGGGATTTAGCTCAGTGGTTTCGCTGCCTGCTGTGCAAGCTCAAGGACCCGAGTTGGTCCCCAGTACCAAAAAAAAAAAAAAAAAAAAAAAAAAAAGAGGTAAACCTCAATTTTAAAGCTGCTTTCAGATTACTGGCCATAAAGTCCTGAAAGCACACACTGCAAATTCATTTAAAACCAAGAAATAATATATACTCACGTTAGGCATTTAAGATCATCTTAAAGTAGTGAAACTGACAGGCATTCAATGTCAGATTGTAGAAACCAGATAGTTGTGCGCAAGGGATTCTTGCATCTATTTAATGTCCAGTAAACACATGCTAAGCACCTGCTGACCACAATCCGTGCCCTTGGGATAGAATTCTGAATCAGATGGTCTCCGCTGATTGTCAGTAACTGGTTAGCTTCATCTTAACTCAGTATCTCGATGGGGGGGGGGCAACAGTATCACAGACCAAACCTCAAAAACCCATAACACCAGTACTACAATGCTCCTTTTCAAAAGTCACCACCTCATTGAGAATGTTTTAAAAAGGAAAGAACAAGGGGGAAAAAAAAAACCCCAGGTGCCTTTCTAGTCAAGCAGACAATACACAGGAACAACCTGCCAGCACACTGGATTCCACTCAAGCCTTTAGTAGGCAGATGCTAGGCAGAAGCAGGTTCCTAAGTAGCAGGTACTTGCAAGATGAATGGGAACCCCTTCCCCAGATGGCCAGGCTCCTGAAAAGGTGAGTGAAGAAACTCTCTTACCATCCTCAAATGGGGTCCCTTCAGGCCTGCAACGGAAAAAGAGGTCAGTTCCCGCTTCTGGGCGCCCCCTTCCCTCAGGCTCACCTCAGGGGAGGGCTATTCCCTGTCAGCTTCCCTTGACTTTGCCAGTCGGTGGCGGCCTGACAGGAAAGCCGCCACACGCGCTCGTTCCGCTCGGAGACGCGGCCCAGGACGCCGCACCCCACCCCGCCCCCTAGAACCCCCAACAGTGCCCCTGGCAGCGGGAACTGACCTAATCGAGGCACAGGCTCCGGGGAGGCGCCTAGGCCCAGCCAAACCCAAACATTCTCCCTTTCACCCTCTGCCTCCGCCAGGCCCTGCCCTAGAGGGCAGACCGAGTTTGCTCCCGTCCCTCAGCCCTCACCGGCGCCGGGAAGGCAGACTCACCCGAAAATGACCGCGTTCCAAACCATTATGTTGTTCTCCGACGGAGCCCCACTGACTCCAGCTGGAGGATCTTCCTGCAGCCTTCAGAGAAACAGACAGGGCCCCCAGTCCGGCACTGGCGTCCGCTTTGGGCTGCTCCCCACCTCAGCCCTCCCGGCCCGAGTCAGGACCCGCCCTGTGCCCCGGTCCACAGCCCCCGGCCTCCTCTCGCCCGGACGGTTTACCTCTTGAAGTCCCTCATGAGGCGCCGCCGAGCCGGGGTGGACATATCTCTAGCAGGGTCAAGGGTGGGGCATAAACCAGGGTCTCGGGTCCCCGCGGACGGTAAAGTGGCCAAGGAGGATGGAGAAGCCGAAGAAGGCGAGGCAGAAGCTCCCAGAGGCACAGCGCTGCCCCTCCGAAGTCGAGGGTCCGTCTGGCGCCGGCTAAGCACCACCCCTGAGTAGACGGGGGCTGAACCAACCTGGAAGGAAGGAGGGGGGTGGAACGCCGAATCCCGGACTGGGCCAAACCAAGACGGAGCCGGGGGGAGGGGAGCAAAAGTTGATTAGGTCATTAACGCCCAGCAAGCAGGCGGAGAGTGATGCCTGACTGGTCCAGGGGTGAAAAGCAAGTCTCAGAGCAAAGGAAAGCCTACTATTCACAAGGAATTAGTGGTGGAACGAGGTCATGTCCACTTGTCAATACTAGAAACCTGGGAAGTTTGCTGCTTTTTTTCTTTTGAGACCAGATCACTTATTAAAGTGGTCACTATGGCTAGGATGGGGGAGGCAAGGGACGGGACCGAAAGACTGAAGTCCCAAACTAGTGGAAGAAGGAGTGGGCGGAGGAAAACCAGTTCTCAAAAAGCGGGAACTTGGGACGGGGATTTAGCTCAGTGGTTTCGCTGCCCGCTGCGTAAGCGCAAGGACCCGAGTTCGATCCCCAGTACCCCCCCCCAAAAAAAAAAAAAAAAAGCGGGAGCTCCAGGCTACCCACAGCTGCGGACACCAGAGACTGAGGGAGGGGGATGACTGGTTAAAATCACGGAAAAGCAAACGACTAAATCGGCCTTGACTATGAAAGGGTGCTCTGAGTCCCCTTTTTGTGGAATAACGTGCAGGATTTGGATCCTAACATTTGGGCCAGTGAGCACCCCAAAGCTGAAATGAATAAAATGGTGTTGGTGTCTTGGGGAAAGGAATGAGAGCATAAGACAGACAGAATAGGATTTTTTGTTTAGCTCTGGGCACTCACAATTTGGCTCTGGAACCACATTTTCCCTTGGCAGTTCAACAAGCCAAGCGGCTAGTCTACGTGCTGAAGAGTCCAAGGTGTGAGAATATCCCGACTGCAGAGAACTGGGAGGACAGTGGGTCAGAAGTAAAAGTAACGGTAAGGTGCACGCGGAAAAGCTGCAGGTGGCAGTCACAGTACATGGACCTGTAAAAGCAATAACAGTTTGAAAGGAGAATTTGGGGGGCGGGTACTGGGGATCCAACTCAGATCCTTGAGCTTGCGCAGCAGGCGGCGGAACCACCCTGTGCCAGAAACGAGAATTTTAAAAGGTCAGTCCAAAATAACCGTGGAGGGAGGCATGGGATTTAGCTCAGTGGTTCTGCTGCCTGCCTCACAAGCGCAAGGACCTGAGTTTGATCCCTGGTACCAACAAAAATAACAAAACAAAATAACTTTGGAGGTAAAGTACACATTTTAAGAATTATAGAAAATATGAGAAAGGTAGGTTTAAGTCATAGCGAGTTTTGAATGCCAAGCTAATGGATTCTTGAAAGGTGGGTAAGCAGGGGAGTGACATCATTAGAGCTGTGGTCATGGGAGATTGGTCACAGGGGAGCAGGTAGGTGGCTCTCGAAGTATTGTAGGCAAGAGGTACTGAAACAGGCAATGCCAATAAAGGAGAGGAGGGCGTGGATGGAGAGGATTTGGCAACAGATTGGATGTGGGGGCAAAAGGGCAGAAGGAGTCAACAAAGGCTGAAGCACTAAGCCCCAAGATAAGTGGGGATTTGAAGGTACCATTAACAGAATTAGGATATACAGGGGGAGAGGCAAGTTTGAGAGAGGACATTTTGAGTGGGTTTTGGGGACTGATGAGATATTCACGTGAAGATTTCCATAAGGTATCAGATATGCAGAAATGTGTTTTTAACATAGGAGGCACAAGGCACTTAACATTGGTAGTGATTTTAGCTGCTGCTTAACAGCAGGTACCTTCATGACCAAGGATTTCTATTTCTCATTGTGTCCAACATCTCAGTTAAGGCAAGTCTCACTAATAGCATATTATGGCCTTGGTGAAAAGGGGGGTACACAATTCTATTTTTAAAATCTCTTTCCTCCCATCTAGGAAGTTCCAGAACATTAATATAAACATGAAACCAACAAAAGATCTTCAAAAACAAGTGCATTGGTTTTCTATCACTGCTTAACATATTACGAACCAACAAGCAAAAAACAAATTACCACAAGCTGTAGGCCAACTCCATTTCCTTGTGGTTGTAAGACCGTAGGACTGAGGTCCCTATTTCATTGCCACCTGCCAAACAAGGACCACTCTAACCCAGAGGCCACCTACATTTCTGGTCTACTCTGTCTTCAAAGTCAGCAAGAGAGAATTTATCAAATCTCTCGCACACATTGGATCTCTTTTTGCAGGGGTGCCCAGTCCACTTTAAGGGCTTCTCTAATTAGGTTAGACCCACCTTGAATAATCTCCCCATCTTAAAACCACCTGATTGGAGACAATTAAATCTGCTACCTGGGCTGAGGTTGTAGCTCAGTGGTAGAGCACTTGCCTAGCCTGTGCAAGGTCCTGGGTTTCATCTTCTGCCCTACATACACAAAGAGTCAAACTAAATTTCTTCACAATAGAACCTATATTAGATTAGATTTAATTAGATTTAATTGCTGGGAGATGATTTATGTATACACTGGGGCCCAGGAATCTTTGGGGAGGGTGGTATCTTAGAATTCTGCCTACCACAGCAACAGCAGGGCACATAGAAGCAGCACCTGAACCCCAAATGCTGAAGGATTCACAGCAGAAGAATCATCAGCAGGGTGGGGTCAGGATAAGCTTCCAGAAATGGGTCAATCTCAGTTTTGTTTCAAGTTGATAAAAGCCCACCTTGAGGGAGAAGAACGCAGGCACTTCAAATAAGGACAAGAACATGAACAAGAGCGTGGAACTAAATTGTATCCTGGGGAAGTGGTTAGGTTAGCTTGGCTATCCCAGAGATTCTTCACTGGGGAATGAGCCCTCAGCTTGGAATTGTAAGGGTGACAGGTGGGCATAGTGGTGCACACCTGTGATCTCAGATCTCGGAGAGGTTGAGGCAGGAGGATGGTGAATTTGAGGCCAGCCTGGGCTACAAACATAGCAAGACCGTTTCTCAAAACAGAAAGAAAGGGGCCAGGGATTTAGCTCAGTGGTGCCGCGCCTGTCTCGAAAGCACAAGGTCCTGAGTTCAATCCCCAGTACAAAATAAATAAATAAATAAATAAAACCAGAAAGAAAGAAAGAAACACGAAGGTAACAGAAATTGATTAAATGCCCTCAAATACAAGGGTGGGGGATTTAGGCTCAATAGGGAGTGATTATAGGAGTTTGAGCATGAGAGATGTACTGAATGTCTCCTGTTGAAGAGCAGTATGCACTGCCCTGGAGACTATGAAATGTACTCAGAAGCTCCTACTACTGGTTATAAATGATGGAAATACATTGCAAGATGTAGGCATATTTGACTTTGTTGTGGGCTTGTCTGTTTTCCGAAACCCCTTCTCTCGTCCTTCCTTGGACCACATAATCAAGACCACTCAAGAACATGAATCAAAGCAGTGTGGAGGCCCCATGACATCTGTCTGGGAATAGCATTCTCTGCCTGTAGAACAGAAATGCACTGCGGGAACACTGTGTCCCCACACTCCTCATCAGAAGCAGGGTTGTCATAGCAAGCAGGAACACAGAAGATGGTTTCCAGCACGGACTATTGTCAGGCTAGAACATACTAACTATAGCATAGTTGGCCAAGCATTTCTTCTGCCCCCATCTCACACTGCCATCTTAAAGAAATACCCTCTTCATAACCAAGCACACCCCAATCCAAGAGCAGGGGTTGAGAAATGATAAGCTTTTAAATGTAAAGAAAATGTGTTGGCAATGCAGCTGTGCCTTTTCACAGGTCTTAGCAACACCAGGGAAGAAAAGAAATTTCAAATTGTCCATAGGCAAGGATTTGAGAATTTTCCTAAAAAGAGTGCTGTGAAATATGGGAATATATCACTAGGAAATTATGGAATTTTACTCATGAAAACTTCGTTATGCAGAATAGATTTTGATTTTCCTGAACTATTTTGGGTCAGGGGAAGATACCAAATAAACTATCATCTCTCACATTACAAGGCTGTGAGTTTGTATTTCTGTTATATAGTGAAGCCAGAAGACCTACCTACCTATCTCCCTTCCCTTCCCTTCCCCTTCCCTCTGCTTCCTCCCCTCCCCCTCTCCCCCTCTCTCCTTGTAGTACTGGGGATTGAACCCAGGATCTTGTACGTTAGGAAAATGCCCCTTGACTTACTTCCCGGCTCTTTTAAAAATTTTATTTTGAGACAGGGTCTCAGTAAGTTTCCCAGGCTGGCCTCAAACTTGTTGTCCTTCTGCCTCAGCCTCTGGAGTAGCTGGGATTACAGGTCACTGTATTCAGTTTATGTTCTAATTGTTTCCACTTCTACTGATAAAATGTAGTGCAAATGCCAATCAAGTAACCACAGCAGAAAATAAAATCAAAAGATCTTCCTTTCTTTCTTTCTTTTTTTTTTTTTGGTACCCGGGATCAAACTCCGGTCCTTGTGCTTTCGAAGCAGGCGGCAGAACCACTGAGCTAAATCCCCAACCCCAAAAGGTCTTTCTTGACTCCAATAATCTCAGAAGATAAATTCAGAGGACCACTGGTAAAAAGCAACAATTTTCAGTGTGTGCTCTTTTCAATACAAGTAGCAGTTTGTTACCAACCTACAGGCACTAGGACATCAGAGGGGGTATCCAAGTTTAGAGAAACCAGGAATTAGTTCTTCAAAAGCAGGATTCACTACTCCCTGAATTGCTGAATCAAGATTTTGTACCCATCACAATATTCTCAACTCAGAGGAGAGCAATGGTTAGAACAACTAGAAATTTTTAAAAAGAAGATGAAAAGACTAAGAAAGAAAATTTGTTAAAATAGAATATTAATTATATCAACATTCTTCAAGAAAATAAAAAATGAAGATGAGGTTGCCGTCAAAGTAACTCTCTGAGTGGCTCATTGGTTAGCTAAGCAAGGAAAGCCATTTACTGCTGTTGAGTTCATTAAATCATGTTTGGTTTCAGAAGTCAAAGAAATATGCTGGAGGAAAACAAACTTGTTTCAGACTATTAGCCCTTCAGCTGGAACTGTGGCACAAAGAGCTGAGGACATTGGAAGCA